TTTGTCTAGTTGTAGGGATGAGTTAGCGATCAAGAAACGCGAAACTGGAAATCTGCCAAACAGTAATTCAGAGAGTACAATACTACTCGGTGGCCCGAATCCAAGTAGGGGCTGACTAAGGAGATGCCACACCCAGCCATTGGGTGAATAGCGTACCCGTAGGGCAACGGGGTGGATTCATGGGATCGCGACTATTGGAAACCGGTAACCGAGTTCATAAGCATTCCCTTGGTAGATAAGGAAACAGGGGACAAATTGTCCACACAAGTTTAGTTTCAGGTTTGGGAAATACAATGATCAGACGGAGTGAAGCAAAGGACAGTGATCCCATCGATACCATTTTACAGGAATGTTAGCGCATTGTATCAAGCTTTTAGCGTGGCACATTTTCGAAATCGCGTGCTGTGCATTCAAGTTCATAAGGCTAAGAACGCGACTTTGTCAATCTCATTGGTCATGGGACGTTAGCCAATGGGAAACCGGTTGGAAGCCCCAAGCATAAGCGACAGACAGTCCAATGAAAGTGGTAGAGCACCACCTTCTGTGATGCTCTGATGCGCGTCTGAAGCAAACCCCGATGATTTCTCTCAAAATGAAACCGTCCAATGGGCCACTTGTGATGACTGTCTAAGGAGATGCTAGCTACCACATGATCCGAAGCTTACACCGTAACCAGTGCGGACGCACGTGCAAATCATCATATGAAGCAGTCTATCCTTATTAATCGCTAGCAGTGCATTTACGCAACCAGTAACAATTACGATGTCAGTATCTTTCCCCATTTATTCGTCTTCGATAGACAATGAACTGCAGATACCAGCGACCTATCGCTTTGAGGCTGGACCTTAACGTGGTGCGATGGTTTGTGTGCCTCAGTGATCCATTAAGCCATGCTGGATGGTGCATTTTTACACCTTCAGAGCCACTCATACCAGATTGGTCAATGACTAGAGGCCAAACAAACTAAGCCTTATGGTCTTCGAGATTGCCGGTTGGAATGAGGGTGGCTCCTTATTCCTTAAAACCAACTATCTGAAGCCCAACAAGAAACCAGATGCCTTGCGGACAGGTTTCTCAACCAAAGTGTTTGGTTGAGAACCCTAATCGCCCTCCCGTCTACGCCAGATTAATCTGACAGTATCCTGTCCATGCAAACCTATGAAACTTTTCTCAAAAAACTTCCAGATGCTCTGGCCATCGCAGAGGATAATCAGCGATGCCCTATCTGCTGCATCGAGCATGGTGGATAGGGGTTTGGATGCTACTGCTCAAGCCTTCCCATCTTCTTATTCCCCCATAAGCTCTTTTTCTCTTACCGTCCCGTTCCAGCTTCACTTTTATCCCCCTGTCTTCAACCTCCAATTCTTGGCCATCCCACACCTTGCTTCAATAATCGCTTGTCTTTTAGTTTCAATTCACATGTGAACGCGGGGCGTCATTCCTGTCCTGTCGACAAGCCCATGTCCAAGCAAGCGGCCAAGCCAAGTTTATCGAAATTCATTTGAAGCCCTCGATCATCCTCCAGAATTGACGCCTCAATGTAGGTACATTGCTACAAACCGGTGTACAGGCAGCATTTGCCCGAACATTAGAGACCTCTCGATCCATATCTACTGCTTATCGGAGACCCGCCTGCAAGACTCGAGCTCTGTGCTCAATCTGCGATCCTCTTCAGGTGACACCAGCAGCACTTTCTCATTGTGCCTAACCGATGACGATGCAGCTTCGAGTACCGGCCAAGCCGGTGTTGGTATTGACCTGAGTCCCCGCGCTGAAGCTGATCTGGTTGACTAGATTCCAATCAGTAACCGGTTGTGTGCGGTCCGATTGCTTGGCTCGTTCAAAGCTTTGAAGTGGCGTGGGACTAGGTGTTTATTCGTCATCGCTGCCTATGCACCCACAAACTAGCGATGAATCGGTAAAAGACGACTTCTATCGCCAATTGAACGAGCTCCTTCGCCACAGAAGAAGCTCGGACACTGTTGTGTTGGCTGGGGATCTGAACACTCAAGTTGGAAAATTATCCATTGATGAACTGTATTTGGGTGGCCAACATGGTGTAGGCTCCCATAATGATAACGGTGAGCGGTTACTTCATTTGTGTGAAGATGCTCACCTATTTCTTGCGCGCACTAATTTCCGAAACAGCACCCGCCACAGGGTGACTTGGCGTCCACAGCCTTAAACCAGCCATGGACGAAAATCGATCACATTGCGATAAGTTACCGATGGAGATGCTGCATTCAGAACTGTCGCTCGATTTGGAGCACATTTGTGGACACCGACCATGCACTTATATGTGCTGACCTGCGGATGCGTTTTGGCGGACGCCCAAGACGACGTTGTGAGCGCAATGACACCAGCCAACTGGCGAAACCAGCTGTTCTGAATGCCTATCAAAGTACTCTGTCATGCAAGTTGAGTAAGCGCTCGCTGAAATCCATTGAAGCTCACTGGTATCATATTCACCAGTCCTCACTAGCAGCAGGCAAATTCTCATGTCTTAAGTCTAATCGCCAATATAAACCTTGGGTCACTTTGCAGTCTCTGGAACTTATGGATGCTCGCCGACATATTCTAGCTGGAAGCGAACACAATGAAACTCGCAGACAGCTTCGGGCAAAACTCTGTGCTATCCTGAAGAGAGGCCGCGAATCCTGATGGCGTCATCATGCATCAGAGATGGAAATGACCGCTTTCCTTGGTAACCATCGTAAGTTATTCCGGTTGATACGGGAAACGGGCAGCGGAAGACCTGATGTTAGTAAAACTATACGTTACGGGAGTGTACAGCCAATCCACAATTTGTCAAAATGCTTGCAGCATTGAGCTGAGCATTTTGAAAGACAATTCAATCGGACGGAATTGTTAGATTTATCGCCGGCAAATGACAGCCCCGATCAATGGGCCGCTTCTTTAGATCCACCCTCTCGCCCAGAAGTCGAACATGAGATCGCCCCGTACAAGTTAAATCAGCCCGCGGGACGAGATGATCTTCCTCTAGCCCTCTTCAAAATCGGGCGACCTACTCCTGGGGATGATTTACACGAGTTACTAGTGAAACTGTGGGTGCATAAAACTGTCCCAAGCGACGAGAGCCGCTACGTCATGGTCCCAATTTTCAAGGCAGACCCTCAATCGGATTGCGGCAGCCATAGAGGAATCAGTCTGATCTCCATCTCCTCCAAATTGCTTGCCTGTCATCCTTCACAGACTGACTGGCACTAGTAAAAGACACATTCGTGAGGAGCAAGACGAGTTTCGCCGAGGTCGTGGCTGCATTGATCACATCTTCACTTTACGTCAGTTGTTGGAGCATCGTCACAAATATTTGCGGCCCACCGTTGTCGTGTTCCTCGACATCAAAGGTGCATTCGATTCGGTGGATAGACGGGCACCTTGGGATTGTCTACTCAGGAAAGGTGTACCTGAGAAACATATAAATATTATCCGATCATTATACGCGCGTAGCTCAGGCAGGATGAGGGCTTACGGCGAGCTGTCGTCGCCTTTTAATATCTCCAGCGGTGTGGGACAAGAACGCCCGCTGTCACCTTTCCCCTTCAACTTCGCTATTGACGAAGTCGTGGAAATCGTGTTTACAGGACACGATTTAGAGGGTGTGTATCTGCTCCCAGGAGAACGACTTTTTGACTTGGAGTATGCTGATGATATTGTGACAGCAGTCATGGGTTCGATCCTCCGCAGAGGACCGAAGGATGCGCACCACTGATGAGCCCCAATAGGGCGAAACGGCTGTCTGGTGCTTTGCCGGACAGCTGGTCGACATATTTGAATTGTCGGCTGATTGCGACGAACAAAAATACCAAAATCCTTCCATTCATAAATAACAGTTACCGGTAATTCACACGGGCGAAACATAGCGATAAAACCCGCAAACCGAGACCTGAGTGCCAAGAAAACGGTAGGATATGGTACAAAAAATAGGGCATTCTGGTCCTTCATCAGAAACTGAGTAGCAGGTGAGAAAGTAACTAAGTGGGAAGTGGATGAAGCACCCATAGTCCTCGTTCTGACATGGCCAGGTAGAAGTCAGCATGGGGAAGTGATGAGAATAGCTCTGTGATCGTTAAGTAAATCACGAAAATGACGTAGGGAAAAGTGTGATGGACGCAGTGTCAAATAGCTGTCTTGCTTCCAGGTCGACAAAGGAGTTTAAAAAGAAAAGCTGAAGAGAGCAAAGTTTAGTAGAGAGATAGATAGAAGCAGTATATACCTGACTGGCTTAGCATCGACTGAGAGAGGTAGGTCTCAGTCGCACGAGTTGATCTGGAAACTGCGGCCGGGAAATGAAGTGTGATGGCAGAAGTAGATAAATGTAACGTTGCCATAAAGAGGAAGCCGACGAATAACGAGATATAAAAATAGCTAAAAGAAAAAACGAAAAGGTTGAACGAACAGAAACCAATGAGGGGATACGAGATCACCTGATTCTAGAGCGTGCCACAGTAAACTGTACTTTAGCTGAAAATATGGCTAATCATGTGGTCACCACGTGCTACCCTGCATTGACATCACGCGCCAACCTGGAACTTTGCAAATGTTAACGCATAGGTGAAAGCACAGTGGCCTGAGAATATAGGTCAAAAGCATGCGAACAGGGTAAACGTATTCGACAGCTCGATGTGGAGCAAAAGGACTGTCCCATGGGCAAAATATCTACTGATGTGAGCAACGCCATAGGCAAAAAGCACACTATCGTAAAACGAAACGTCTCAGGAAGCTTATACTGGTGGAGGCAAGACAAGCTTTGGAACCATGCCTTCTCGTCTACATTGCTATCTACTTGATATAATTTGCTTTGGGTCCGTGATGCGGCAAAACCAGCAAGAAAACTCGTGTTCAAATCTTCTCCCGCACATCAAAGCAAAGCAATGAATGTTGAGCGATTCGACTGGAGATTGAGCTAAGTGGATTCTTAACGCGGTAAAAGTGCAGTACGAACAAATACGACAAAAAGAATAGATCCAGAGGCGCACCATCAAGAAGCACATGAGGCCTCCATATGGCCATCTCACGCCAACTTTTGTACCCGTAACGTTGAGGTGGTTGAATACAGAAGCATGTTTCGTGCACGGTTTCCTTGGAGCAGACAACCAATGAAGGCCATCGACGAATACATATGGAACGCCAGAGGCACGGATCCTGAGTCAAACGATAAAAGTATTTGCATACCTAGGGAGAAATAATATGAGAAAAGTGAATGTAGTCTGGTAACAATGAAATGGGAGACAAACGGAGAAAACGAAGTACAGTATATTGCACAAATAGATGCGACGACGATAATTAGGGGAATGCAATCCACCCATGCGTAAACGAACGTGCATGACCGGGTAAATACCACAGTAACTTGGTGAGTAATCAATAAGGGTGGGAAAGTGAACTCACGCGGGCTAACTTTCCTAAGACACGAGCGTCCAAGTGATCACCGACTGCCCAACGGAAGATCCGAATTAGCAGCTCGTGGGGTAGAGAAGAGATATGCCGTCGCTGTGAAAAACGATTAATCGATTAGAACAGACTTGGTATCGAGGAAGCTTCCACATAATCTTTAAATGATGGAAAACGCTAACAAGAATAGAAAACAGAAGGTGTGATAGTGTCATCAAAGAGTGGAGCAATGATATTGATATGACAGTAGAACGGTTGAGGAAGTAACACTAAAGGTTCCAAGAAATACCTACAGTACCACTCTGGTGGAGAGGATTCACCGGAGCGGTTAACAAGCTTCTCGCACAGAGTTACAGTAGATTACCTACATGTATACAAAAAAGGCCGCATGAGATACAACAGCCAAAAACCACGGTAAAGTGCGGATGTTTGCAGACTTCATGTGGGGCTGAAGAAGAGCCAAATGCTTGAACCTTAAGAGCTGTGTAGTATTTTCACGTGTAACCGAACGAAGCGAGCACAGAAATAGGTTAGAAGCTTTTCTTCCCGTTGTGCATATTGACTAACTCAAACAGGAAGTAAACTCTCGGAACTGAACCAAGTCAGTTCATGTGAATGCAGTTTTTAATGGTGAACTTACCGCATCGATGATAGTGTTCTCCAGTGGTAAAACAGCAAGCGTGATATTATCCGGATAAGACTCCATCGACTCTTGTACGCATTTTGTTGAAATTTCTAAGCGAAAGCAGATCAGTAAATCAGTGTTAGAGAAAAATGTAACGGGTAAATAGAGTTTATAGACAGAATAATCTGAATTCAGATATTTCGCGACTCTCATCAACTATGTACAGACAATCTGTGGGATCAGTACGTTGCACACACGACAGTAAAACAATGCTCGAAGTCGTCCTGCTTAAATATAGCTAATCGATAACCTCACCAGGGCCTGCAAGCTCCATCGCCCAGCATGCCCCTGATTTCCACACGTGCCAACACCCGTGGGTATCGTTCAGGATACTTAATTCATAGAGCAGTGCTCATCTGCTCCAATTTGCAGACTTCAACGATTCGTCGGCGGAAACCCACTTCATGTAAGCAGACGGAGCTTGTGATTACGCTCGCCTTGCCCTAGTGAGGTTATCGATTAGCATTATTTAATCAAAACAATTTCACGCATTGTCTTACCGTCATGTGTGTTACATATCGATTTCACAGATTGTTCGATGAGGGGACACAAAATATCTGAATTTAGGTTACAAAAGTGTTGCGAAAGCCTGAAGGTCCTATTTGCTAATGCGTGTTTCATCCGATCGGTTAGGATCACCATACAACCATTCACTAAGTTTCAAAATAGCAAAACGAAAAAATATTTTAACAGAATAAGCTGAATTCACTTATTTCGAGTTTTCTCGTCAGCTGTTTATACACATTCATGAAGTTATCGCGTTACGTACAAAAGGGAAGTAATGTACAAGGTCATTCAATTCAAAGGAAAACGGTCAATAACCTCACCAAGCTAGAGCGAGGCTGGCCGTGAGTTCAGCCTGCTTGCACAAATTGGGCTTAAGTCGCCGAATAGTTGAGGCTTCGGCACACCGAAGCACTAGGGCATTGCTCTGTAGGCTAATTACTTTTTAAAAAAGCAAGAGGACGTTGGCACATTATGCAATCCAAGACGTGTTGAGCAATAGAGCTAGCCGGCAGTTTGGGACCGTTATAGCGACCATGTTTCGTGGAATGTGTTCTGAAATCCCAGTGGATAGCCTCCTCTCAGTTGGGCCAACGTACTTGCTACACAAGTACAGTGGAATAGATAAACATAAAAATGGGTACCCCGCGAGATTTGTAGCCAGTCCGCAGGTGTCAAGGCAACACGTTAACAGGTTTTCGGTTTCTGTTATCCTTACCTTCTTATTCCACTCCGGCACTTACCCTTCTCTATTCCGAGCTTCCTGAGCTGCCACCTTTACTTAGGCATCTTACTAGGCGGCTCGAGTGTACAGCCGTCTACGAGGTATTTATTTTGCATTGCAGCTTGGACACGAGAGAACTCAGAATGCCGGACCGAAGGAATATAACAGATTCATAGCTCGGTATGCAAGCACAGAAAAAAGTAGGAAGCCTTTGATAAGTGTCCCCAAGAAAAAAGTGCTCATTACGATGTCATTTAAAGATCAAAATGATAGAAGATTCCGGCACCGCCTCCGCTAGGCAGTTGGGTAATGTTAGTACGTGGCCGAACTGGTGTTATTGCACCAAGTTAGAAAGTTGCTCTGCAAATCCAATCTAGACAAGTCACACGCTCACGTTACCGCCTCTTGTGTTTATCTATTCCACTGTACTTGTGGTAGCAAATACGTTGGCCGAACTGAGAGGAGGCAATCCACTAGGATGTCAGAGCACATTCCACGAAATATGGTCGCTATAACGGTCCCCAACTGCCGGCTAGCACTATTACTCAACACGTCTTGGGTTGCACAATGTGCCAACGTCCACTTGATTTGGTTAAAGTAATTAACCTACAGAGTAATGTCCGATTGCTTTAGTTTGCCGAAGCCTTAACAAATCGGCGGCTTAAGCCCAACATGTGCAAGCAGAATGAACTTACGGCCAGCACCATTCTAGCTTGGTGAGGTTATTGATCGCTTTCTTTTGAACTGAATGACCTTGTACATTGCTTCCTTTTTGTACTCAACGCGATAATCTCATATTGTGTGTAAATAGCTGACGAGAAAACTCGAAATAACTGAATTCAGCGTATCCTGTTAAAATGTTTTTTAATGTTATTTTCAAATTTGTGAAGAGAAAATCCCGCATGAAATTTCTTAAGGCACTCAGGAAGTGTTCGGCTAAGCAGATTCTCAAAACGCATAGAAGAGAATCTACAGTAGAAAGTGAGACACCATCTGGGATTCCAGATTATCCAAAACATTCGTAACTCGAGTTGACCGGTCAGATATCATGTACCCGCGAGCATGGCAATTAGGTTGATTATGACACATTGACTCTGCCCTTTTCCGCAAATCTCCATAGTTTTCGTAGGCTCTATGTCTATTTAACAGACTACTACTAATACTAGTACTACTATCTCCACACTGTGTATTAAAGCAGTGCTACTTAGAAACAACTGGTGCTCCGCACACAGTTGCAACAGATGCACACCGTTGTCAGTCTGTTCGAAGTTAAGCCCACAATTACCACCCAACTGAGCTTTTGAAGAGCGCATACGCCCTACTTGCGCCTTCCTATCCCCTGCAAGTACTATAATGTCTGAACTAGTAGCACTGTGCAGTAGCGCGTTAGGTTCGTGATAGAACGTGTCTATGACTGCATTCGAACTGCAGTCAACGGGAGCATAAGCTGAAATCACAAACCATTTTGGCGATTGAAGACATCCTGTCGAGAGCTATAGATGGTTGTCAAAATGCTGGTACACAGCTATAACCGGACAAGCGTGCAACCGAATTAGATTATGCTGATGATATCGCCTTACTTGGTGAGGACTCAGAGAGGATGCAAACCATTCCAGACCGCCTGGCCATTGAGGCATCCAGGTATAAAATATGTTTTGCGCCGTCAAAGAATAAAGCATTGCTTCAGGACTGTCACTCAGCTGTCCCCGTGCTCAATGTTAAAGGAACACAGCTTGAACAAGCAGAAAGTTTTGTCTACATTGGCAGCTGTGTCTGCTGGTGGTACTAGTAGAAGGGAAGTTTCCCTTCGCATCGCCAAAGATCGGTCGGCGTTTGTCAACCTGCAGCAGTTGTAGCGTCGCCGGGATATCTCACTATTGGTAAAGGGTCGCGTTTACAATACCACACACACACACTATACACATTAGCTAGAGGTGGGAAACACCTCAGCTACTGTGCCGCAATACATAAATGAAAAAGGGAATAGAATGCAACAGGTGCAAGCCAGATGAGTTACCGGTAACAAATGGGCATCGCTCCCCTAAGCTACCTGCCGACTACTATGCAGTAGAAAAAACAATTTACTATGCAAAACCATAAAAGACTAAATAATGAGATCGTGGTTGGAGGCGGAGGTTAAGAGCGATGGGGTGAGACAAGGAAACTCACATCACGAACGCCAATGAGGTCGGCTCCTAGCCATATCAACAAGTGCATCCAGCCAAATGTGTTCATCGTTTTTCGGACTCCAACCAGGGAGCCAAGACGCTCAAACCGAGAGCAGCTTCGTAGTGAAGGTCTTCTCTCGATCAAGTCATCGCTTGGTCACCTCGCCTCTTCTTCCATCCACATCCCCGGTGAGCAAACAACGCACGTCGCGGGAGTTGGTGGGCTGGCATGCGTAACACGTGGCCGAGCCATCGGAGACTGGTGCGTGAAATAACGGTGCTGAGCGGTTCATTTCCTTTTCCTGTGCCGTAAACAAGTCGTCGAACACGCTCGTTGCTCACGCGGTGTTCCCACCAGATGTGTGCTAAATTGCGAAGGTACCGGTGGTTGAATGTAACTAGCCTCTTCATGTCCGCTGATCTAAGGGGCCAGGTTTCACAACCGTACAGTAGAGTTGAACGTACCGCTGCATTGTACACTCTATCCTTCAGGGCGAGAGTGATGTCGCGCCGACGCCATAAGTGGCGAAGGTTAGCAAAAGCGCCTCGAGTTTTTGATATACAGTTCGTGATCTCATCGTTAATCCCACGGGCGCTGATACAACTTCCAAGATAGTTGAATTTTTGAGCGACCTCTAGCTGATTCCCACCATAGGTCAGCGAAGGAGGCGGTAAGGGCCAACCTTGGAGGAACGGTTTGCACTTCGAGGGTGCGAAGCAAAGCCCGAAGTGACGGGTAGCCAGCGCTAATCTGTCCAGTGCCGCTTGGCAAGTTTGTGAGCTGTCACAGATTAAGGCAATATCATCAGCATACTCTAAATCAAGAAGTCGTTCTCCTGGGAGCAGATTCACACCTTCTAAATCGTGTTCTGTGAACGCGATTTCCATGACTTCGTCAATAGCGAAGTTGAAGAGGAAAGGTGACAGCGGGCATTCTTGTCCCATACCGCTGGAGATATTAAAGGGCGACGACAACTTGCCGTAAGCCCTCACCCTGCCTGAGCTACGCGCGTGTAATGATCGGATAATATTTATATATTTCTCAGGTACACCTTTCCTGAGTAGACAGTCCCAAAGTGCACGTCTATCCACCGAATCGAATGCACCTTTGATGTCGAAGAACACGACAACGGTGGGCCGCAAATATTTGTGACGATGCTCCAACAACTGACGTAAAGTGAAGATGTGATCATTGCAGCCACGACCTCTACGAAACTCGTCTTGCTCCTCACGAATGTGGCTTTTACGAGTGCCAGTCCGTCTGTGAAGGATGACAGGCAAGCAATTTGGAGGAGATGGAGATCAGACTGATTCCTCTATGGCTGCAGCAATCCAATTGTGAGCCTCCCTTGAATATTGGGACCATGACGTAGCGGCTCCCGTCGGTTGGGATAGTTTTATGCACCCACAGTTTCACTAGTAACTCGTAGAAATCGTGCGGAAGAACAGGCCCCCCATTTTTGAAGAGGACTGGAGGTACATGATACAGTTAGACATGAGTTCAAAGCATGCTAGAAGTCAACGAAATCAAAGACCTATCGTTATGTTGATCACTGAGTGGGTGTTGGCAAGAGAATGACCGTCATGCGAAAATAACAGCTATGCCATTGACTATCCATTGGCATTTGGAGATTACCACATGCACTTTTCGGGG